ACTTTGCATTTCAAGCTAGGAAATCTCAGCTATGTTCCATCTGACTTATAGATTGTGAGAAGCTACCGTAGTGAAAAACAAATCGTTGGATACGTATCACATAGAAAGTTTATATGATATATCACTCAGCATGGAGCCTGATTTGATTTACTTTATGCCCAAGCAAAGGAAACTGAAAACGAAAAAGTGTTTTTCCATTCCTCGCGTTGCCTGCAATATTCTGCCATCCTTCTGAAGGCAAAGCACGCCATGAAGTCACCGCAGTTTTGCATTCAGTAACTGATGGCAGGATAAAGCCTTCCTGTCTAAGCGGATGGTTCATGGCAGGACAGGTGGAACAAAATATCTCTCATCTCAATTCATACCCGATTCAGAGGGGACTGTGCATCTTCCTGCCTTGCAGAGGATAATGTGGAACTGCGTGGGAACAGTAGCCTCTCCTCATGTACTGACCCTGCTCTGGTTTAGAGACACCAAGGACCTGCTGCAGTTCGGCTGGGAGCAAAACAAGGGCTACGGTATTAGGCAAACTACTCATGCCCTGACATCTGGGAGATTATAAAATGTTAGGGAATATTTAAAATGAGGAAAATGAATATTTCCATATAGTATATTTGGCTGTATTCCTGGCCTGTATTTTTTTTCCTGGGCTGGACACCTCCACTTCCAGTAGATATTCAGTCCTTAAAACAGGTTGGGTTTTATTTTATTCTATTCATTTTTCTGCCCTCTATTATTCTAAACAGTTGTAGTGGATCAGCCCAGATATGTTTCATGTTGTGAAGAGAGGGAAGGAAATAGCCTGCAAATCATCCACAGTTCAACATCGAGCTGATCTTTGTGGAGACGAAAACTTACTCCACAGCGTTTTTACCTCATGATTTGGATTCTACGGGGTAACAATCAGCTTTGACAGTCTCACTGTGACACTGTTTTCAAAGTCAAATACAGAGTATCAATGAGAATACACCACCCCCCAAAGTAGCTCCCCTCCAACTTCATAACCCCCATTTATTTTTGACATTGTACAATAAGACTGGAATGATTAATCTATAACAGATTATCTCACAAATCTGCTACAGAAGAACAGAGGATGTGATTTGCTCTGGATTTGGCACACTGGCGACGGCATGTCGCAGTGAAATGTTTAATGAATACTGTACAGCAGGAAAATAAAATGGGGAGAAATTCAGCATATTAGAGAGGGACTTTCGTGCAAGGGCAACAGTGCGAGGGAACCCAGCTTCCAACAGTCGTGTTGATCACTGATTACTGAATTACTACTAGTAATTGGGCAAATCATTTCCATCACCTTTCCAGAAAGACTTCTCCCCTCTTAGGTTCAACACAATCTGCCTTGAGCTTGCTTTTCCAAAGTGCTAAGCACCTATAAAATAGGAATGGAGGTGTTTACCCCACCTTTTGGTTGCCACTGGAAGGTCACAGGATGTATGTTACAGAAGTGTTAAGTGTAGTTATTTGTGGGAAGTGCTGCATGCCTAGGGGAACCACGAACAGCTGGAGGACTACACCACCTATTTGTGCTACTGACTGTTCACCTTGATTTCAGAGAGTAAAGGATGTTTGCGAGGAACTTGCTGCATAATTTGCTGCACCTTAAAACACCATTGATAAATTCAAGCCTATGGAACCCAGTTAAAAAAGGGCATTTACGGTTTTTTTCCTACCTCTTGTAGCAAACTTAAAAGCCAAAAGTTCTCAAAACAAAATCAGAGCCACGGCGAGGTAACAGGCACTGTCTGGTGGCACTGACAATGTAGCTGAAGGTTATATAAAAGGTTCCTTCCCTTTTCTCTCATTTTAGAAATTGCTTGGGAACACCAGAAACTTGAGAAAAAAATTCTCTCTCGTCTGTCTGACCTTGGCCAAATGCTGAAGAGTAATCATCCACTTCAGAGTGAGACTCTGCAAATGGCAGGCAGGGTAAAGCATGGTTGTACGGTTACTGCCAGTCAATGACACCTTCCTGCTGCTAAAACTCCAGTTCTCTTTTTGCAGCTTCTCACTATCTACTAAGTAGCTTGAGCTAAATATGGTCCTCCAAGCCCTATTTCCCCTGTCTTCAGGGAGATTTACCTGTGAGTCCAGGCTGCCCTTTCTGGCATCAGAACTTGAACAAAGATCTCCTCACGGTACCAGCGTAGTCAGTCGGCAACATCGCTTCCCAGGACCTGCAGAAACTTCTCTTTTGATAGGTTCTGCCAGCCTTTAGCCTCCCGTTTTGGGCCAGCAAGGCTCTCCATCTCTAGGCCAGAAGTGAGGCTAACTATTGCCTTTGAGTGCTACCAAGCAGCAGTTATCTCTGAATTGTCGATTCAAAGCAAAGGTACAGGACAACTACATCTCTCATGGAAGTACAGGAGGAGGGCGGCAGTCGGTGGACAAAACCCTACCAACAGGCAGTGACCTGAAATAGTTCAGGGAACTGTCCCGCGAGCCAGGACTGCTAGCTGGACATCCTTGACAGACAACACCAGGACAGCTGCATGCAGTTAGCTCTACAGCCCATCAAAAGGAGATGCTAATACTTTCATTTTAGGGTGGCTTTTTGGCCCAAACATGTGGGCTTTGTTTGTTCTTTTTTGTGATTGGTGACGATAACTTTTTTTCCCTTTTACCCAGCAGCCAAATAGATTCTAGCTTGCCTGGAGAGCGCTGACACAATCCAACCTAGCAATGCACAACAACACAAGAAAGCAAGCAAATCCAGGGAAACGGGGATGCTGCTGCAACAAATCTTCCTTCTGTTTGGGCCTTGCTCTGCCCTAGCACAATCAGAATTTGGGTCTTTCCTTCCCAGTCACCCAAGCTCCAGGAACGGGCTCCATTTCTACTCTCTGCTGGTCCGTCCCTGCAGGGAAGGAACTTAGGCTTTGACAGTGTACCTCTTTGGGATTTTTGACTCAGGAGCCACCAAAGGTGGCATTAACAGCTAAACTTCAGCTAGAAAAAAAATTGTCTGCCAAACAGCGTTTGATGCTTTGCAGGGGACTGTTGCAATTTTATTTCCAGGCCATTTTGTGAGTACTGCCACAGCTATTGTCTCTGTCTCTACCTCTCCGCACTGCTGACCCCAAGCTGAGCTCTCACCCTGCAGTCCAGGGATCGGGGTGGGGGGGTGGGGAGCGCTGAGGTAGTGAGACTCATGCAGCTTAAATTTACTATACTGGGTTTCCCTCCAGCGGGAAATATCAGGGGTTGTATAGCCACAGAGTGCTCAAAGCCACTGCCTCGGAGCATGAGTCGGGGCAGGTGTGGGGCGCAGGTCTGGCCCCGAAAGCGG